TATGGCGGTAGCGTGTATTTTATTTTTATCTTTCCGTTTTTGAAAATATTTATTGAATTATAGCATTTTGCCTCAACAGACTACCCTACCGCCTGCCCCGAATGTTTGTTTATCATTTAGAAGAAACTCAGTCTTTATAGATTTATACTATAATGTGCTTTCACAACAGATTCGAACAGAACTAGGGGTGTAGAGGAGACCCCAACAGCAACAGCAGCAGCAGCAGGAGAAGCAAAGACACTGGAGACAGTGCTCATGTACTTGACCGTGACGATGACGGTGACCCTGGCACTGATCAGGTTCCAAACGATAATCATAATTCAATTCGATGATGATGATGATGATGATGATGATGATGATAATAATAATAATAATAATAATAATAATAATAATAACAATATGTACAGCGCATGCGGAATGTGAATGTTACTGATAACAGTAATCATACGTGAGGCTGGAAATATATCAAGATTACTGCAGGAATGTTTAGAAGACTTTTCTGGTAACACATCAGGGCACCTGCAATTCTAGGAGCAGCAGGACAGATATTAATGTAACATTTCAAATTTATTTTTCATGAAACTATTATGTGATGGGCCTTAGGGGAAAGTTTAGGCCAAGGCTCAAGGACACGATACCTCGCAATCACTCATGGAGGTGAGCTCTTTTTGAGAACTTCCCGCCATTTTGCGGAACCCGAAGGTTCGTTACCGTTTTCCAAGAGCCCTCCAGTGGCCCCTATCCTGAGTCAGATCAATCCAATTCATACCGTCCCATCCTACCTCTCTAAGATCCATTTTAATATGGTACAGCCACCTACGAATTGGTCTTCCTAGAGGTCTGTTTTTTCTGGCTTTCCCTTAATATCATATATGCGTTCCTCTTCCCACAAATCCTGCTACATGCCATGCCGATCTCATCCTCCTTGGCTTGGCATTCTAATTATGCCTGGAGAAGGGTACAAGTTATGAAGTTCCTCATTATGCAGTTTTCTCAAAGCTCCCGTCAGTTCATCTCTCTTCGGTCCAAATATTCTCCTCAACACCCTGTTCTAAAGTACCCTCAATCTATGTTCCTCCCTTAATGCCAAGAACAAGTTTCACACCCATACAGAATCACAGGCAAAATTAAAGTGTTGTATATTCTAATTTTTATGTTTTTGGACAGCAGACGAGAAGACAAAAGGTTCTGGACTGAATGACAGCAAGCATTACCCGAGTTCAATTGCCTCTTAATTTCCTCCTGAATCAGGTTTCGATCTGTTATCGTCGTTCCCACTGTGCCACATTTTCAAAACATTTGTTAGCTGTCTTTATGTCATGATTTTGCCCTGCATTTTGGTGACGAGTTTTCTTCTAGACCAACCTCCTTACTTGCGTCAGTTAAAGTTTGTGTGTTTTTCTTTATGGTATCTACATTCACAACAACTGTGTTCCATTTAATTTCAGTCCTACCTGGTTTTCCTGGACCTTCCCAATGGCATATTGTAAAGCAAAGTTGAAAAGGAGTGGCGATAAAGCATCTCCTTGTTTTAGACAATTCTGGACAGGAAAATTATGAGACAAAAGTTTACCTATACGGATTTTACTGTAAGTTTCGTTAAACACATTTTATTCAGATTAACTGGTTTCATGGGTATCCCAAACTCTATCAGAATATTGTACAATACTCCCCTCCTAACTGGATCATAGGTTTTCTGAAAGTCTACGAATAGCTGATGTACTGTCTCACTGTACTCCCATTTTCATTCCAATATCTGACGAATGCAAAAACCTGCTCTGTAGTTTATCTGTTACGTCGAAACCCACACTGATGATCCCCAATAATTTAATCTATATATAGACTTAACCTTGAGAAAAGAATATTGGATAAAATTTTATATGAAGTTGATAACAGTGATATCCCCGATAATTACTACAGTCAGTTTTATCACCCTTCTTGTGAACTGGTACAATAATAGACTCCTTCCATAGATGAGCAACTTTTCATTATGGCAAATAGAAGTAATTAGATTGTGGATCTTAGAACGTAATATTTCGCCTCCTGCTTGAATAAGTTCTGCCGGAATTTGATCACTGCCTGGAGATTTATACCTTTACAATTTTGCGATAGCAATTTCAACCTCAAGAGGGCTTAGCTGTATGTATTGTCTGCCTAATATCACTGACCCTATGTACACTCAATAACTGAGAGTAGTTCTCCACCTATTCAAAATGTGGGAATTTTCAAGCTGATCAGCATTCTCATCATTCACTAAGTTACTGCTAGGCTGGTAACCGCTCTTAAAGTCACATACTCCTCTACAGGTCTCTAATGTTCTTGTTCTTACTGTTCATTGCAAGTTCATCAATTTTGTCTTTCAGATATTCCTTCTTTTTTTTTTCCTGAAATGCCTGTTGGTGTCACGTCTTATATTGTTCAGATTATCCCCATTTAACTCGCTTGGATCCTGCAACCACTGCAATTTGGATTGTCTCCATTGATACAATAATTTTGAGCATCCTTCATCGAACCACGGCTTATGCTTCTTCAGTTCAGATCAGCCTAGACTGTCTTTGGCAGACATTTTGATATTTTCCCAAGCTCTATTAATATCCATTTCATTGTCTAAGTTTTCCAAAGCTGCGAACTCATTTGAGATTTCAACACAATACTGTTCCTTGCGCTCTATCTCGTTCAATTTTTTGAGATTGCACCTCTCCGTATGAACTCTGTGCGTTGTTTGTCTACTCACGGCCAGTTTTCCCTAACTTTTGCCACCACCGGTTAGTGCTTGCTGAATTGCCCAAAAGGCCAATCACAAATGAAGCACTAGCAAAGAGGCAAACAAACAAAAAGCTATCCCTGAAGAGACCGTGGAGGCCCATGGGGTCGTGAGACGTCGAGGCTCCTACACTTTCTATACAATCGGCTCACAGATGGCGGTAAGGTTGTCAGCCTTACGCGCCGGCCGCCCTTTACCTCCCAGGAAGTTTTCTGGTACTCATCTCTGTTAGAGGCTGAGTCGGCCCTAGGGCCATAGAGCAGCTGGAAGGATTAGGAAAATGTAAAATATCAAATTACCTCATCGGGAGTTGAACCTGCGGCGTTCCAGCTTGTAGCATACTGCCTCAACCAACTACGCTACCGCGTGCCCCAAAACAAATGCATACATATGAAGAAAGACAAAACAAGGCAAAGTACATCATTTACACAAAAACCTCTCAGGAGCTTCAAACATGCCAACCATGATGCGATGAGAATAATAATGAAATTATTAATAATAATAACAACAACAATAATAATCCAATTAAATTCTTTATTATTCATGTGCTGAGCCAACAACCGCAAGGCCAATTGCAGACTCAGCACAGTGTAGATAGAAGTAGTTACATACTGGACAAACACAACATTAAGTCAAGGAATAATTAAAGATAAATATTGGAGGAAAACAAATTAATGCATATAATTAAACCAACATAATAATAATAATAATAATAATAATAACACTTTGGAATTGCATATTTTTTAAAAAGGCTGAGTATAAAAATATTTCGTATGCATTTAAAGCACGGAGTTCATGGATGTATCCATCCCGTCTCATGGTGAAAATAAATTAATAAAACGAAAGATGATGATGATGATGATGATGATGATGATGATGATGGCGATGGGGACGGCGGCGGTAATGCAGTTCTATCGCGGGTAACACAAATGTTGGCTTCGTCTCAGATCGAGCACACGTACCAACGAACTGGTGTGGCATTGAAGCTTCACTGCCACGTGTCATGCGAGTCGGCTCCAGTGGAGCTACTACTAATCATTATACGTGCAAAATGTGGAAACAAACTCAGGAAATACATAAACTCAATGTCACTTTGTACGTCAGGCTATTCAAAGCAGTTGCAGCAGCTCTGGAGATAAGAGGAAAGAAAAGAGCGTGGAACTGAAGAATAACATTGTTCAGAAGGAGGGCAACAGTTTCCCTGCCAGACGGTTAAGTCACTGGTTTACAGTCCGGCTCCATATATCAAGGAGGTGTTCTTTACAGGCTCGTGACAAATTTCTCATGATGCCTCATGATGCAGACCAATTATATTCCGTCCCTGAAGCTATGCTGAATTTTAATCACTAACTCGCGTAACTTGATGCCACAGCAATGATTCTCTAAGGGCGTAACTGCGACCTCGGATGTAAATAGAATTTGGGCTAATTTATCACGTTATGAATTGTTACTCATACCAAAGTATACTTACTTACTTATGGAGCTGAGCCCTTCTTGAGGAGAAGCCACATCTGCAGCTACTCAAGAATTTCCTTGCATTTTATGGAACCCGAAGATTCATTACCGTGTTCACAAGAGCCTACCACTGGTCCCTATCCTGAGCCAGATCAATCCAGTCCATACCATCCAATCCTGTCTCTCTAAGATTCACTTTAATATTGTTCACCCACCTTGGTCTTCCCAGTGATCTCTTTCCTTCTGGCTTTCCCATCAATATCCTATATGCATTCCTCTTATCCCCCATTCGTGCTACATGCCCTGCCCACCTCATCCTCCTTGACTGATCATTCTAAATATACTTGGAGAAGAGTACAAGTTATGACGTCATACCAAAATATATTAGTTTCAATGGGGCCAAATAAATATAATAATACAGTAAAATAAATGCCAATAAGCGGTTCATCATTAACCGACAGAGGTTGGGGGTGCAGTAATTTTATGTACTATTCTCGGGGGGGGGGGTAGCCGTATAACAAACTTTGAGAATCACTGTTGTATAAAATTTCGTATGAATTAAATCCATTTTGTATTTTTATTTATTAAACACATGAATAGCAGTAAAACTGCGAAATAAAAATGCACTACCATTCTCTTATATCCTGTTTCGATCACTAGAATACTCGGAGGAGCGATAAATTAGACATAGATATGGGTGACATCTGCTGGAGGGTTTCTAAGTATCAACCTGTGGTGAGCGAGGGTGAGTCTGTCTCCCTCCAACTGCCTACATTCTCAGATCACGTTAAGTTGCAAGCGTACCTGGCAGCTTGTCTGCTTGCCCTGTCTCGTTTCTGAGTTGTCTGTTTGTCCGTGTGGTTAAATACGGCTTTGTGTAAGTTAAAGTTTTATATCTCATTAACAAGAATTAGATTTTCTGGTCTTTTATAATTATCATAAACTTATTCGAAAACATTTGCAAAAACATGCAATTGGATTTTTGTTCGAAGAAATGTCTCGAATCGCGGGTCTGCTACATAAACATTCGAAACATTTACCGAAGTTGTCTTCGTGGATGTGGCGCCGTGTAGTCAGGTAGCTAGATAGATAACTATGTGCTTCCTCCACATCCAGTGTAGAAATCTTTAAGGCTGTAATCATAAATGCAATTATTCTTCGAGTGTCTAGAAGTAATGATAGGATTTTACTTGTAGCATGGAGCACTTATATCTTACATGCCTGCGAATGGTTTATAAAAGAGCCGACACGTCACCAGTTGTAGAGGTTATGTAGAAGCGAGTGCGCTGAAAACACGCTCACAAAAATCTGTAAGGATTTGGGAACGGGCGGTAGTAACATTCCAGCATTTGCCTGGAGAGATCGAGGAAACCCACGAAACCCACAGAATAGCAGGAAATCAGCCGAGATTAGAATCAGATGTGCTACCTTGGGCAAAAGTAAAATCAACTGAAAGATTCATCATTTCACTGTCATACTGCAACATAATACATTTATTATATCAAGGACCCGCTTTTTATTAAAAGCAATTCCTTAACGTATGACAGTTTTCAAACGATTTTTTTTGTTAAAATGTGACAACTCCCATAAACTCTTGTGATTAAAAAAAAAGGTGCATGCCTCGAATTGCAAATAACTTACATAACATTTAGGATCTGAAGTTTTCACAGAGGCAGTTTATCTTCTGGGATATAACGCCGTGCAGTCCGTCGAAAATTGTAAGAAAGTTTGCTTCCTGCTTTATTCTGGTTTCTTGCTTTACATATTCTTCAACTCTGAGGATAGAGGACATATGTTCCTCTGAAACGTTTGTTGATTTTTCAAAGGGCTACGTGTCGCTATATCCGAGACGACAGATCTCTTTATCGTTCACGGATATGACACACGCTTTATTTAATGGGATGTTACTGGAAAGGAAAACAGAATGCGTTACGTGTTTCTTACAAGGGTACTGTAGGCTATCACCGGAGTCAAAGGTTTGATATACCGAGACACTGTTTATAGGGTATGCGCAACTGGTTCCTGACNGGGATGCTGATTAAACCGTACAAATACAGGGATTTTCTGAACTGTTTCAAGTCCCGTTCGTAGGTATAAACAGATGCATCGCTATGGAATGACAGTACAAAACATGTTTATTTGAAGAAAGTAGTCTTCTGGGATTTGGCACCGTGTATATGTGGTGTTAACCGACGTTTCGGAGGAACGTATCGCCTCCATCTTCAGGGTAGAAGGAAAAATATAAGAAATCCGCAAGCGAAGAGACCGTGAGAACCGGTACGGTTATATTTTTCCTTCTACCCTGAAGATGGAGGCGATACGTTCCTCCGAAACGTCGGTTAACGCCACATATACACGGTGCCAAATCCCAGAAGACTACTTTCTTCAAATAAACATGTTTTGTACTGTCATTCCATAGCGATGCATCTGTTTATACCTACGAACGGGACTTGAAACAGTTCAGAAAATCCCTGTATTTGTACGGTTTAATCAGCATCCCATTACTCGATTTCTTGATTCGTCTTGTTAACGACGTCTGCATTTCGAATTATTTGATGAGCTTATATTTTAGAATGGGCTGTTTCAGCACTACACATAAAGAAAACAATCTTATCGGACGATCAGACGTGTTATAATGTTGAGCTAAAATCCGACGTTTCAGAGATCTCCTCCGTTTCCATCATCAGGATCGATGTTCGACTTTGACCCTGATGATGGAAGCGGAGATGTTTCAAACGTTTGCCTTTATCTCAGCGTTGACACGGCTGATCGTCTGAGAAGATTTTAGCGCATGTATTAACCATGAAAGCATCAAATCTTACATAAAGAAAACAGATATTCCAGTTCAATTCTGCTGAATTTTATTTACAAGTACGTAAGAGCTACATTACCATGTGAATGTAAAATGAAACTATTCCCAGCTTTATAGGTGTTTTTAACGCGATATCAAACTGAAAAAAAAACTTAATTACGTACCAGCATTTTGGATGTTAACCTACAAACCAGTGATTTAATCGGTGATCCGTCTCGCGTTACCCTTGCTTTCCAAACCAGCATTTTCCCAATATTTTTGTCCAGATGAGATATGTCCATTAGAATACAGAATTGTTGACATGCCCAGTTATCACTTCTTTATATTTTCAGCGGAATTTGGACAAGTCTTAAACGTTCCATTGAAAGGAATAGAGGAATACACGGACTGCAATCAACGTTGTGTTTGAAGCTTCCGGGACTTGCGACTACATTATCATTCTTTATAGCATCAGGTAACATAGACTGAGGCTGTTTGAGAACAGGGTGTTGAGGAGAATACGTGTATGGGGACCGACGAGGGATGAAGTGACAGGAGGTTGGAGAAAACTGCATAATGAGGAGCTTCATAACTTGTACTCTTCTCCAAGTGTAATTAGAATGATCAAATCAAGGAGGATGAGGTGGGCAGGACATGTAGCACGAATGGGGGGAAGAGGAATGCATATAGGATACTGGTGGGAAAGCCAGAAGGAAAGAGACCACTGGGAAGAACAAGGCGTAGGTGGGTGGACAATATTAAAATGAATCTTAGAGAGATAGGATGGGATGGTATGGATTGGATTGATCTGTCTCAGGATAGGGACCAGTTGAGAGCTCTTGTGAAAACGGTAACGAACCCTCGTGTTCCATAAAATGCTGGGAAATTCTTGAGTAGCTGCAAAATTGGCGGCTCCTCAAGAAGGGCTCAGCTCCATGAGTAAGTAAGTAATAGCATCAGTTATGATAATGTCATAGAATTAGTAGAACTGCGCAGAATACGTGTGACGGTGGAAGCAGGCAAGTTGTCAGATGCGCCGAAGATTTCACAGTTCTCAAAAGTGTGTACTTGCTTTAAAATGCGTGATATATTGTGATAACGATCCTATTCTTGGTGCGAGTGAATTGCAGTGAATATTTTAAGTGCAACTCAGAAGACATTCGTAAGACAGTAAACACGTCGAGAAAAGAAAAATGAATGCATCAAAATCCAATCTAAATTACGTTTAGGCAAAAAGCTCGTTCATTGAGCTACGCTGTTACACGAACAGTTTTAACCACGCACTGGGAAAAGCATATGAGACCTCTTGTTTATATTTGTGAGGAACAAGTGAAAGCTCTGAATGCAAAGGTTGTATTAATTCGTCTGCAAAGCAAGAACCCGGCACCATTGCAAGAACTGGCCTCCAAAGGTATGCAGAACACTTAAGAAGGCGAAGAATCCTCAGGGCGAATGAAGCGGATTTTGCAGTAAAGTAAGTACACTCTATCTATCATAATATTGACCCTATATCCACATAACTGGAAGAGCCGGGATAGCCCAGTCCGCATAGCAATGGGCTACAGGTTGAACGGCTGGGGTTCGTGTCCTGGCAGGGGCAAGAAATTTGTCTTTTCTCCACAGCGTCCAGACCGTCTCTGGGACCCACATAACCTCATTTCCAATGGGTACCGGGGCACTCTCCCCAGGCGGTCAAGCGCCAGTTGCGTGAAGCTGACCACTTAACCTCTATCTAGTAACGAAGTGAATGGTGGAGCTATAGCTCCACTCCTCACTGCGTCGTCATGGCTCAGTGTTTAAATTTACTTTGTGATTCCGAATAGGAACTGGGACTCGACTCCGCAGCTGCACGCAGGCAGGGAAGCCATTAAGTAACATGCAGATGACCTAAAGGCCAGTTAAGTGGTTAGTAAAATATACATTAAAATACGTCAGAATTTTTTATTTTATGTTATGCTTTATTCTTTATTATTTATAAACAGTGTTCGAAATGGGACTCTTCATAGACTTGAAAGGATTCTGACGATGTTGTATGCTGTACAGAACTATTAGGCTTATTTTGGACTCTATCCATTGTCTGGTATACGTATCATCATCATCATCATCAGTAATCTGTCAAGACGACAGGTCCACAGTCTCTTTCAAAACAATTCCTCCACTTAATGCGATCTAGAGCTTTCTCCTTCAAATGACAGTATCCTCTTCTGTCCCCAAGGTCATCCAGCATCTTCTTACGTCTTCTTCCTCGTCTTCTTGTCACTTCTATCCGCCCATCTATCTTTCCTTCGATAGCTTCTTTTAGAAGGCAGTTTCTGCGTAAAACATGACCAATCCAATTAGCCTTCCGTTTTCTTATTTCATGTAGGATATTCCTCTGCTCACTGACTCTAATTAACACTTCTTCATTTCTCACATAATCGGTCCAACTGATCTTCTCCATTCTTCTCCAACACCACATTTCGAAACTTTCCAGATGTTTCTGATCTACTGCCCTAAGTGTCCATGTTTCAGCCCCATACAGAGCTATGCTCCAAATGTAGCATTTCACTAGTTTCTTCCTCAAATTTAAGTCCAATTTGCTGGTAAAAAGATTCTTCTTCTTGCTAAATGCAGCTTTTGCCATGGCAATCCTGGATTTAATTTCACAAGTACACCTTCCATCATCTGTTAACAAGCTACCCAAATATTTAAAACATTTCACATTCTCCACTTGTTTTTGGTCTATCTTTATTGTGACTTGGGTTGGTTGTCTCGAAATTTTCATTACTTTTGTTTTCTCCACATTCATTTCCATGCCATAGCACCTTCCAATTTCAATTAGTCTATCAATCATGCCCTGTAGCACAGTTTCTTCCTTAGCCATTAACACAAGGTCATCTGCATATTTCACAGTGGTATACGTATATAAGACAAAAAACCACAACGTTCTGGAGGCTGTNACAGAACTATTAGGCTTATTTTGGACTCTATCCATTGTCTGATATACGTATATAAGACAAAAAACCACAACGTTTTGGAGGCTGGATCTGTCTCCCTCCTCAGGTGGATGGGGCAGGATAGACCTACTCAGCTGGGCCCGTTAGAAAGAGCTAGTATCAATCACTGGAAGTCCAGTGTTGCTTACAGCAAAAGCGAAATCCACGTCGCGATGTTATAAGCAGGACAGTTAGGGAGAGTTCAGCCAGTCACTTGAGATCAGTTAGTTGGTTGGTGAGTGACTGAGTTAATCAGTCAGTTAGTGAGTTACAGAACTGCTGAGGTTCAGTCGTTATGAGCTGTTGATGTGAGCAGCTAGTAACTGATGCCGGGTATAATTCGGGAACCCAGAGAAAGGGGAACGACCGCTATTGGAAGCCGCTACCGAGCAACGGCTAGTGAAGACGTGACTGTGAACACCAGTGTGTGTGTGTGTGTGTGTGTGTGTATGTAATAGTGAATTGTGTGAAGTGTAGCCACGCGCTGTATCAAGGAGTCCAATAAATACGGTCATCAATCCAAAACCCGTCTATAGTCACACCCCATCACGTGACTGTATTTCTTTGTCATTTCCATGACCCACGGTATTTACAGACTACGCGCCAAGTAGCCGGTAGGGCACATATTAGGCACAGGCCGCGGTACTCACTGGTCCCTTGGCCCAACTTCTATACGTGTAAATCTTTACCAGTTATGAAACAAAACTATTTATGTGTCTACAGAAATTCTGACAAAATAGTTGTACCAAAGAAAACAATACTAGGCGTTTATACGAGTGTGTCATGTTCCGAAATATTCAAGACATATTCGGTAATGTGTTCAGTATTTTATTGGTGTGCTCATCAAATATTTATCTTACAATAAAATTTTGTTACAAAGAGACATATTTTCATGACGGCCCAGCCGTTTCGTTAATGCTTTTAGTGCGTAAACTTTATTATAATTGTGGTCCCAATTCAGCGTAAAAATGACGTAATTTGATATGTACTAATATAAACACACTGTGTTATAGTCTTGCAAGTAAAGTGTTGATTTGTAGAATCGTACCCGAGCTATACTTGGCAAATAAACTATGACTATATCGAGCAGTAATTTTTTTCTTTTCTTTCGGTAAATGCTGTGACGTTATACACATTTCTAGGCAACGGGTCTGTAAACACATCTCCGCAACACATGCACACGCGAAAATAGAAAGACATCCTTTGCTAGGCAACAGACTAGTAAACGCACATCATTAACTACAAAGACAGTGTTTTCCTTGGGGTCCGTGCAGAGGGTTGTTAGAAGACGCGACGGAGTAGAGAACAGTAGTGGAGAAGGAATGGAATTGGGTCTAGTTCTGGAGATAGAAATCGAAGATGATTGAGAATAATAGCAAGAAAGGAATTAGGAGGTGCAAAGATGTGTGATTTTAAATTACAGTGACACTGTGATAAATCCGTTGCCAGGATACGACTAGTGAAGACTGAGAATTCTAGTGCGTGTGTAACGGTGAACTGAAAGTGTGTAGAACATCGATAGCGCTGTATTAGCTATAGTCCAGAACTTTGTGAATGTGTAAGGCGCAATAAATCCAGTCATCCAATCCAGAACCCGTCTATAGTCACCCCTACACGTCACAATATTTTAACGATCTTACTAAGCATACCTCATCTTAGTCCACTTCAAAAACCGCAACATATACGTTTAACTTATTAGAGGAAGCTTGTTACTTAGAAGAAGTGACAAGACTGAAAGGAAGTAAGGCAGATTTGCAACAGGATTGACACTACCTTGTAATCATGAGGCCGCGCTGCAGTTAGGGCGTGGAGTACCGCATGGGAAATACCGCTGCATATTTTTATTCACTTCGTGACGTCTTGTTGACGTGCAGTTTTATCCGCCGCATGCCAAGGAAAAGCTAAAAACAGAATGCGCTAATACGTGAAGGATCTTGCCGTATATAGCACTCTTCGCCGTGCGGGGGATATCACAGAGCCCTGCATCTGCGTTGTGGGTTTCGGTAGAAAATCTGTGTTAGAGGAAGTACGTAATACCCATAAACTTCTAGGACATGAACTGAACTAGCGTCCTATAGGCAAAAGAGTTTTAAACAAGAAGTTCTGGGAAGAACCAATAGCCTACTTTCCTTCCGCGACATGCTAAGTGTTTCATATGACACGGACTTCATATAAAACGCCGTGTCCAACAGTTCTTCTATAATTCCGCGAGTATTGTTGCCACGGTTACGTATTTACCGAATCGTTGCATAGCGACGAGATGGAGGGGATACGCAGAAAGACAGGAAGGTGATCTCATAAGCATCCTATTATTTTTTCAAAATAAGAAAAGTAGACTAAAAATGTAAAAAGGTAAAGTTGTCCCTGTGTTTAACTAATTAAGCACTACGCTATAAAGGCGTATGGGGGAGTGGATGTATAAATCCACACTTTCTTGAGCTCGGCACTAGTTGGAGGTGAGTGGTCAGCTTCACGCCCAGGCAGCTTTACCCCCGGGAAAGAGCCCCCGGTACCCATTGGAAAGGAGCCTGAATGGGTCCCAGATCCAGTCTGGACGACGTGGATGAGAGAATATTCTTGACCCTACCGAGACTCGAATTCCGACCTCTCGGTCGTCCAGCCCGTGCCCCGTCGCTAAGACTATAGCGAATGGGAAGATTACAGCCAGATGTGATGGCTTATTCTCCGTTTTTAGAAATGAGCCTGAATATGTAAAATGATTTCCCCCGTATTTAGTGTTACTGTTAGTAGGCACAGTAGATCACTGTGGTCGCGGTGCACGGGCCAAGAAGGCCCACCCCTTATACATTCATTATATAGTGTTACTGCTTCATGTCCGTAAATTTGTATTAATATAAAGTAATCCTGTTCTATGAGAATGCGCTGTCTGTATCTGTGCGTTACACGCCGCATATTCAAACAGAAATTGAGCAAAATGTCAGGTCTCCCTTATTTCTCAGGAAGCATACAGAATGGGGCGGTTGCAGGGTTGCAACGAAGCATTCTTACACACAGTTTCGTGAAGAAGTCTTCTACACGAATTAGTATCTCGAACTACTGCGTGAAAACTTCCAGATTATGTATCTGTAAGATAAGCAACGTAAAGAATTAATTACTACGCAGTTTCCACGGACAGACAAAAACTGAAATACGTCACTGGAGTAGTTAAAGTTTTACGTCATGATCTTGAAATGGAATCTGAGCAAGGAATTGAAGCTGTGTATTGTTCACGTAACTCGATACCTGCAGATAATGATACATGAGTACCGGAAATAGTGTTGAATTCGAGGTCTTGGTCGTGTGGTCACAGGACCACTTGTTAGCAAATATTTGAGATTCACTGATTACCTTCTTGAGGGCTGTCCAACTTCAAACCACCGAGAAGCCGCATTTTATGTTAGGGCCCATCTACCCGCGGGCGCAATATAAAAACACATCTTTCCAATGTCTTCTTCCTTCGACGTTTTCTCATCCATACAGGGAGTCTATTTATTTTTAG